GGCCTGGGCTTGATGCGCCTGGTCACCAACCTCCTGCACTCGTATGATGCGGCCGGCAACAACCTGATCGTGGTTGTGGGCGCCGAGGAGCGTGAGAATGGCTGGATTGGCGAGGCGCTGGCGGAACATGCTGCCATCAGCATGTCGCCCAAGGCTCGGGGCTTGACGCTTGTCAACACCGAATCCCAGAGTGTAGGCGCAAGGGAGAAGATGTACGCTCGCGGTGGCGTATTCAGCGTCACCTCGCGTATCCTGGTTGTTGATTTACTCACGGGCCTACTCAACCCAGAAACTATCACGGGTCTTGTCGTTCTCCACGCCGACAAGGTAGTGGCTACGTCTCTGGAGGCTTTCATCTTGCGGGTCTATCGCCAAAAGAACAAGGCTGGGTTTCTCAAGGCCTTTTCAGATAATCCCGACCCCTTCACCATAGGCTTTTCCCCCCTCTCCACCATGCTGCGGAACCTCTTCCTCAAAAAGGCCTCCCTGTGGCCGAGATTTCATGTGACGGTTGCCCATGCTCTAGAAGGGAAGAAAAAGGCCGAGGTGATAGAGCTCGAGGTTCCCATGACCGACATGATGAAGGATATACAAAACGCCATTATGGAATGCGTGGAGATCAGCATTCATGAGTTGAAAAAGGGGAATTCCGGGCTGGAGATGGACGACTGGAACCTTGACAGTGCCCTGCTCAAAAACTTTGATTTGATCATCAGGCGGCAGTTAGATCCCAATTGGCATCGAGTGAGCTGGAAGACTCGTCAAATTGTCAATGACCTTTCCGTTCTTCGGACTCTACTCAATTCTGTCTTGACCTTTGACGCAGTTTCGTTCCTCCAAAACCTCGATACCATCCACGCTGCACATTCCCCGGCGCCCGGGTCTACAAGGCAAACTCAATCACCCTGGCTGTTTCTAGATGCCACGCAGACCTTGTTCGAGACTGCACGCAGGAGGGTCTACTCAGCGAACCCTAAAACCATCAGCAAGGAAGAAAACATTGACTCTTTACATCCTGTACTTGAGGAGCTCCCCAAGTGGGCGCTCTTATCGGAAGTGCTTGAAGAGATTGACCGTGATCTATATTTTGAGCCTCAAATCAAAGATGACTCTAACGGGACCATTTTGATCATGTGCGCAAGCCAGGACACGTGTCGTCAACTCCGGGACTATCTTCAGACCATGCATGTGAAAACCAGAGCGGATGGCAGCAAACCAGCGAGGGAGACCAAGGACGATGGAGAGGAGGGCGGAGAGGAAGAGGAAGAGGAAGACAAAGCTTCTGCATCCTTTATGATGCGAAGGCGGCTACGGAATTATTTGAACTGGAAGAAACAGTTCGCCCAGGTCAACGCAACACTATTTGCAGATAATCAAAAAGTACTGAACTCTGCGACGGCCACCAGAGGGGGCAGGGCGCCGCCCAACAAGAGAAGGCGTGTTCGGGGTGGTGGGAACATAGGTGCAAACGCGGGCCGCGCAGACAATGGCAGCATCATCCAATTTTTTGAGAAACCCGGTGAGGTCGCTGACCTCATGGCTGAGGTGCGGCTAACAGAGGAAGAGGCCCAGCAAAAACCCGAGATCATTGCTGACCCTATGGACAACATGGACGAGTTCTACGAGATGTTTGAGATGCAGGACCTGGTTGCCATTCACGCCTATGATGGAGATCTGGATGAGCACGTCCTCGAAGAGGTTAAGCCACGGTACATCATCATGTACGAGCCTGATGCGTCGTTTATCAGAAGGGTGGAGGTGTATCGTTCGTCTCACAACGACCGAAATGTGAGGGTATATTTCATGTACTACGGCGGCTCTGTGGAAGAACAAAGATACCTATCATCTGTACGTCGCGAGAAGGATGCATTTACAAAGCTGATCAAGGAGCGGGCCAGCATGTCCTTGGTCATGACTGTCGACCCCAGTGGGGAGGATGACCAGGAGGCATTCCTACGGACGGTGAACACGAGAATCGCGGGAGGCGGCAGGCTGGCAGCGACTGCCGAGCCTCCTCGCGTGGTGGTTGATGTGAGAGAGTTCAGGTCTTCACTGCCGTCCCTTCTGCATGGGAGGTCCATGGTCATCGTCCCGTGCATGTTGACGGTTGGCGATTACATTTTGACACCGCACATATGCGTGGAACGTAAGTCGATCAGCGATCTCATCTCTTCCTTCAAAGACGGCCGCTTGTATACTCAAGCCGAGGCCATGTTCCAGCATTACCGGGATCCCATGCTTCTCATTGAGTTCGACCAGAACAAATCCTTTACACTAGAACCATTCGCAGACCTTTCGGGCAACCTAAGCAGTCTGGCCCCTGGAAACGTTGCGTCCGATCTCCAGTCCAAGCTGGTATTGCTGACGCTCGCGTTCCCAAGGCTGCGTGTCATATGGTCCTCGTCACCGTACCAGACAGCAGAAATCTTCGAGTCTCTGAAGCAACAGGAAAAGGAGCCCGACCCGATTGCAGCGGTGCAGGCCGGCCTTGATCAGGATTCAAGGCTTGAAGATCAGATAATCAACCAGGAGCCACAGGACATGCTCTCCAAGGTGCCGGGAATCACGCCAAAGAATATCAACGCTCTTGTTTGGGAAACAGAGAATCTCAAGGAAGTGGCCAATATGGAAGAGAAGGAGTTGAAGCCAATAGTAGGTCCAACAGTTGCTCGGCAGGTGCACGGGTTCTTCAACCGCAATGTAATGGAGGAGGATGATTAGAATTAGATTAGACCATCTGCAAGCGATTTTAATCATAGCATCATCACCATTGACAAAAATTTACTGAGCAATTCTGGATATCACAACTTGGCCACTTAATTTATGATCCGGTACTGTTTGTCTTGCTAAGGGGTATTATATTGTGGAAAAGCAACGGAAAAGGTACTAAAAAAAGTCTTGTCGGAGCGAAAAGAGGGTATCTCAAAGCATCCTTTGAAAACACAAAAACAAAAATCAAGGCTGTCCCTGCAGCATCCAGCATGCATTCGTTCAGTCATGTGTCCTTCACACCATCTACCAGTTCCTCCATCGGATAGGCCTCATCGTCAGGCGGCGGTGGTTTGGGAAGATGGGTTGTGCATGCTACACATGACTTCTCCTCACTCCTCTCGACCTATGATGACCAGCGCCTCCTCTCCGTCGTCCACAGTATCCGCAGGTCAAGAAGGAGACGATGATTCCGCAGAATGAGACGATTGCGTTGACTGTTTCCACGGGTCAGTACCACGTATGAATAAGGTGCATCTGTGGAAAGGCGGCTTACCAATAGCAACGATGATTCTACCAACGCCGCTAATAACGGCCATGATGGCATCGCCAATTGTCCGGAAAATGGACTGGATCTATACGAATCGAATGTCAGTTAGGCGGAAACCAGTGAGAAGGGATGCCTCGTCAAACGTACACAGCTGAGCACGCCACCCATGATGTCTGTTGTGTTTGTTGATTTGTTTGTTTGTTTTTTTCGGTTGGCTTGAAATATTTCCAAGAGGTGTGTATAGGGATTGGAGGTTGAAGGATGTAGTCGACAGAGGGTGGTTGGAATACTTTTATACTATCCTGAAACCTACTTCCCTGTATGCGTATACGAGGAGGAGGGCAATTTGGGAGTGCTGACGTCAACTATTTCCTTCCGTCGGACTGCATGCAGGACGGGAACCATCGCAGCGCCTAAGCCCAACCACCCTTGCCAGCGGTGTGCCCTGTGCATGCTGGGCTCGACCACTGCACTGCAGGCTTGCCTGGCTGGTTTTGGCTGGGTCACGCTGGGCATTGCAGAAATGGACGGGAACCGTTAGCAGGCGTTCCCTTATGACATACCCCCGATCTCGATCCAAGGGCACCAATCATTGCCTGACGGGGATTGCTCTCCGGAGGTCTTGACTCTTGCCCCCCCTAGACGTGCATCATCAGCTGAGCGGTGTTGGCAAAAAACAAGAGAGGAACGGGGGCTAGTGATAGGGCTAGACAATGCGCTCGCTGTTCGTGCATCTCGCTTGCCTCCATCGCATCAAATCGATGACGTAGGCGGCTCACTTTGGAAACCGTTATTTTGTCTCCATATCCTCCATTTCCCGCCGCTTTAGGGTATTTGGTCATTAATGAATTGTAGATGAAACCTAATCTACTGCCAAAAACCTGAAAGGCAATAATATACCTGATAATGGCTATGACTTAAAAGACGATGCTTGGATGGATGGCATTTTGGCAAACCATCTGGCCATACGGAAGATCAGAGTATGATGCAACAACAAGCATCATACCTCATCCCTGCATCCTCCCGCTCTCAAATTTAGCAAATGGCAAGGCTAATTTAACGTGTTCCACCGTTCCTTTTCTCAAATGCCGCGGAAACCAGGCACGTAACGGTCCATCCACAGCTCCATGACGCAATTCTCCGTTCATCATCGTTGGCCTCTTCTCCACACTGACCCCAGAGTCTCAATCTCTAAATCTGCAGAGTCATATGGTAGCAGTGGATTGCAGCTCTGACGGCCACACTACGGGAATGTATGGAGATCAGCCGTGGAAAGATACAATTGCATGCGTACAATGCTGTTGACGACATGCCAAGCCTCGCGATTCGCCGGATGGAAAATGACTTACACAAGGGTCCTATCAAGAAGATCATCAGTCTGATTTACCGGTGATAAGAACCATGCGTTTTATTGACGATCTATCATTGGTTGGATATTTCTTCCACGCAATACCTAGAGGATGTACGTGCTTAAGAGTTTCACGCAAGCATGACACAAGTGATACACCATTCTTAGAGAAGGGTCTTAAACTCCCCTGTATAGTAGATTGGAATATACGTCTACTCTCAACATTATTGTACACTGTGTAGAGGTGCTCCTTTTGCCATCCCGATGTGACAATCCCAAACAACGCCATCTATATGTCTATACCGAAACCTGGGGAATATACAATTAGAGGAGGGGGTGCCAGAGAGGCCAAAACATAAAATCATTGAAACGTGAGCGAGGAGATCCCTTCCGTCACCGCCAGGGCCAAAATGTCCTCTTCGGCTTGGCAGTAGGCTTGTGCAGGTTCATTCGCCTCACACGTTCGCGGTTCCTTGAGTCGAGAAGTCCCAGTGCCCCATCATCGTGGTGATACAGAGGGCTGCGAGGGAGATGAGGGCGATCCCCGCTCGTCATCTTTATACGCTGCACTTTACGCAGCTTTCCGAGACCATACCAGCATACTATGAGCGAGAAGATGGTCGAAACGCCGGTCACGCCAGCAAACCCCCAATTTGTCTCTTCGATGAAGTTTTCCAGGTTCATCCCGTAGAGACCTGCGAGGAAGGTTCCCATAGCCAAGCCTAGGGTGCCAACACTAAACTTCAGGTCCAGCAGCATGAGAGCATTGCGGTTGGCGTCAAGAATTGCACGGATACTAAGTAAGTTAGCTAGGTCCTTTCCATTGAAGCGCTGTCTAGCAATATAGTCATTCCTAAGCACTTACATCTCTTCCGTATTGCGGATACCCGAGACGAGGTTGCCGGCTTCCTGAACAATTTCGTCGGTGAGTTTATGGTACGATTCCAAAAGCATCTCCACCTCCGTATGGTCGTCGAGAGCTCGCTTGACCTCGTTGGCCTTCTCCGTGAGATACATGGCTGCAAGGTCGTCATCTGCCTCGAGGAGGTCCTCAATGGCATCCCTCACCAGCTTTGCCTTCTGCTCGAATGTGCTCACACGCTTGGAGAGAATCAACAAGTTTCGCAGTCTCTGCCGGTCAATATCATCTTCCAGTTCGTTCAGGTTCTGCATCACAGGTTCCCGTACGGCTTCAAAATCCGCTTCCAGCTCCGACGTTACAGACGTCAAGACAGCTTCAAGAGCCCGAAACTCGTAGGGTAAGCCCCCTCCGGATGACTGTGTTGACTTTTGCTGTAGCTTTCCTTGTAAATCATACATGAATGCAGATTGAGGGTATGACGTCTTGGATCCATAGACGTCGAATAACAGAACACGATCATGTTTGATCAAAACCTTCAAGTGAAGGAGGTTTAGAAGAATGGCGGACGGGCGAATGAGAATATGCGGCAGGTTAGACGAATCAATCTTGCGCAAGTCGCGAGGCAACAAGCCGTACTGTAAAAGAGAGCATGTTAACAATCCAGTAGAACATAATCAGGAGTGGGAAGCTGGCTACCTTGGCAATCAACTCTGTCTTCTTGAATTCACCATCAACCAGAATCACCTTCCCATGCTCATCAACCTCTGTACATCGAAGCCGAGGTTCGAGGGCAGCTTTCGCAGCTAATGTCCGCCTATTATTGAACATAGAAGGGCCGTGGTCGCTGTTATCATGGTCCGGGAGATCGTTCGGGTGGAGTGGCTTCCCTCCCTTCTTAGCTGTGGCTCCCCATAGCCTCTCCTGCCATGTTTTGGTCTCCGATTTCGCCTTGGAGATCTCAGATTCGGTCAGGTTGGATAGACGTCGACTAGCGGGTGCAGCGTTATTAGGGGATACGAGGGGTCGTTTCCTTGTTTTCCCAAACAGTTTCTCGCCCTCAGAGCCAAGGGATTTCGAAGAGATCTCTCGTTGCGCCGGTGAGAAACATCTCTTCCTGATATATAAGCTATGAGCACAGCTTCTCGAGGTCCCAGTCCTTGTTAACGTAGAGAACGACGACGTCCGATATATACAGTTCGCGGCCGTGGGCGCACTCGTCTGGAGTTGGAGGAAGCGCAATAGCCTGCGAGAAGGAATCGGGAACCGCGTTCGAGGAGCGGCCCCGGCCGCCCAAACGGACATGGGGGCGGGAGGTTTGTGAATGCAACAGGACTCAGAGCTCGGTTTGGATCGTCGATTCGCACACGGGCGCGGGAGCTATAGGAGGCCCAAGCAGAACAGGAATGAACTCTCGGCGTCAGATCGGGGCCATGCGCGGCGATTCGACTGTAGCTTCATCAAGACGAAGGGCTGTAGAACGGGTTGTCTGTTTCCAGATACTGCGAGGTTTCGGGTTCTGCGGCCAAAACGATAACTTCCAGGATTAGTTTGACCTTTTCGCAGGTAGATATTGCACCATTTGGATCGGGCCCTTTCTCTCCGAGAGCAAAGTACAGAGCTGTCTTTTGTCACAGCTGCCGGCGCAGTAAACAAAAGATAGGATGCGGCGACTGAGTTGTAGATCCAGAGCTCCGAATTGATTATCGGACTCAAGATTTTTTTCGCGTCCAGTCTATTTCACTAGGCCATCCATGTGTGTGGCCAGGAGGCGCACCAACTTACAGCGAAGTTAGGCGGCTGAGTGCCTGTGGGAAGCCTCTACGCAACTACAGCCACACGCTAAAGGAGCCACTAACACGAAGCACAGTCTCTCCAGTCCATCAACGACTTCTTCTCGTCAGGAGTAAGACGAATAGAAGCATTTTGGCCAGCTTTCAACGACCTTTTCAGGGTTCATTCACAAGTGCGCATTCACAATGCCATCACATGGCATTTAATGGGGAATGAAGAACCGAGAGCTTGTCCGTGACTGTACTCGCCAGTTCTCGGCCTTCGCTCTAGCAAAGCCAGCAATCAACCCCCGCTAAATTCTACCTACAGTCGATTGATGTTTAGTTTTCTTCCTGCCCATGAAATCGTACTAACACCAGGATCAACTATAATGACATGTACCTTCTTTTAATGAATCTCTGAATATGCTCGAGCAGTCAATAACTTCTTGAATAATCCATTTCATTGCATCATTGTCATCTACTGCCCCTCTACAACCCCTTATCCTTACCCATCTCGGTGGCCACAACCTGGGAAGTCATCAAATTTGACATTGATAGTCATCAAGATATCCAGCAAAGAAGAAGCCAGGACAACACCCCTGTATCGATCTCACATTTCTATGCAAAGTATTCCAGCATATGCTGTATTCGTCTGCTGCAGATAAGCCGGATAAAAACCCAGGGGTTATGAACTCAAATCTCACCCCGGTAAAGGTCCGTGGAAAGCGCAAGACGCCGTCGGCTCCCACGACAAGAATCCCACAAGAGCTCGAGAAGAGGCTTCGGGCGCATAACGAACTCCAGATCCAGACTCAAGGCCCCCAAGACCAGTCCTCCAAGAAGCTCAAGAGATCAATGGCAGAAGTAATGGCCCGACGCACCATCCAACATCGTTCTACTCTCGACAGCCTCCCGTCTGAGATTCTCGAAAAGATTCTCTTGTATAGCACCAACTTGGCTCTTCCCAGAACCAGTCCACTTATTGGGCTCAAGCTATCGGAACGAGCTACGCTGGTCCGTCTTTTCATTCTAGCTTTTCATGAGACTTGGGGTCAGTGGTTCGGTAGCCCAGTTTCAGAAAAGGAGGAGGGCGCTTTCGAGGGAAACCCTGAGCTTCAGGTATGTAGCTGCACATACCCTTCATGCAGCCTCATATTAATCAAAGACACAGACGGCTGTACTAGCGCAACGCTGGGCATCTATTGACCTGATCCTGACAGCCCAGCAGGCCTGGGTGGATAGATATGCTAGCGAAAGGCCATTTCAACACTCTGTCCCATGGGATGATAGCAAGGACGGAGCGGGCCACTCTCATGATGGGGACGGCTTTCGGTATAACGCCCATGACTGCTTTGAGGTCGACTACCAACGGGCTCTAGAATGGACGCCCTTCCAAGTCGAGCCCGAAACCTGGGGTGGTCACGATATCCATCCCCAGGTGAAGATCCCCACGGAGCTCATGACCGGCCCGTGGGACGACGACAAGCTGCGTCGTTTGTTCTGGCTAGCACGCGGCGGTATGAGAATATCCGAGGACGAAACCGACGGGCCGCCCTGGGAAGACAAGATCAAGTTCCTTCGAAACGCCGTTCTCGAAGCCACGGAGCCCAATGTCCTCGTCGTCAACTGCATAATGGGCTCTTGGGTCTTTAGAGGGCTTCCGGGAGACGTCATGCGGATGGAGAAGGGTAAAATCGACGCGCGACTCCAATGGGGCGATGACACAGAAGACACCAGGATGATCCTAAGGCGCACGAGGCAGGCACTGGATATATTCCTAGACCACTGGCGCGCAGATCAAGTCGTGAAGTGATGAAGAGGAAATCCAGATTGCACGACCCATATCAAAGAGAAGGAAGCAACGCCTCAGAACGCACCTTTCATTATGGCTATATACCGCATAACTCACACAACATAATATTCGACACTAGGGATGTTCACACATGCCCATGCCAGACCTGAGCATGCAGGAAGCAGCTTCCTGCCGATAGGTCCATACCAGCCGCAACGGAGGTCATGAGCAATAATACACGTACAAATACTACACAAGGAAAGACCCTTGCGGTTATTCATAGACAGCTAGAATGATGCGAAACAACATTATAGCGCAAAGCAAGAACAACGAGCTCCTTGAAGCGCCACAAGCAGCAGTTGGGTACTGGGTCCAGTCATTGCAAGTCATGTATGTACGCAGTAGTACTCAGCATTCTCAGGATAAATCGATATTTACATGGCAAACACGAATGTGATGAATTATTTCATTGCCATGAGTATATAGAAGACTTACTTGACCACTAAAAGCCCAGTAAGGCTTGAGTATTTTATATCCGGAGATTCTCTAACCTGATTAAATTGATTATACTCCAGAAAGTTACTTACAACTACTTGTGGTGCTTTGGGGAGACAATTTACTTCGAAAGCTCCAATTATCCTGTGACCTATAAAGAGCCACAGTGTTACCAACACCATGGATTTATCCAACAGCCTATGCACCCTTGGGATGGGTGTTCTTGCAGGGGCAGATGGAAAACCATGATAGTTCCTTACCTAGCGTTGTTTCCCCTCGCTTCCATCCATCTGGACAGGGAGGTCGGTCTGAGGGGTTAGTGAGTCCAGGCGTGAGGATTCCCATCTCCAATACAGAACCATGTGGGTGGGGTTACAGCCCATCTGGTGTTGCCTGCTCGCTCGTCGTGACCCACGATCCCGAGGAAGTCGACGGATTTCCCTCAGCTGTCCCACCCCAGCTCTCGTAAGACGGCGGTGGCCTTGTGCCAGCGTGCACCAAGATACATTGTAGTATTACCAAATGACCGCACCTTTTGCCACCTACCACCCACCACAAAAAAAAGAAAATACTGTCAAGCCGACGGGCTTGGCGTAGGTGGGATGAAGAGAAAAGGCGCGTCGTTCCACAAAGTGTTGGCCTGGATTGCCACATGGGCACATCAAGAGATATTCCGAAGTTCTCCGACAATCGGGTGTAAATGGTGAATACTAGTGACTTGCCTAGCCTCGCATTATCCTTGTAGCAGTTCGTCAAGTCAAGAATAAAGGCCAGCGAGGTACTGCCTTGGGCATCAAGATATCATTAGCATACGCGCCCCAGGAGAATCAAACCTTGGCCCACATGACCGTCGGTCAAACAGATGGGTCTATCGTGGGGATCAAAGTCGAGCGGTGAAGAGCTCCCGACGGTTCCGATCACGGCTTGCAAATGACAAGACTCGCCAAGTTCGACATTATCACGCACATCGAGGCTGATCTCGGGATCATTCAGATATCGTTCGTCGTGGTTGATGATTAACTGTGTTGACACATGTCATTATTATGCTTCAACTTGAATTTCTGCTGATGAAGATCTATGCCCACTCTATATCCCAACGTCTCGTCTAGGTTCTCAAAGACCCGTCGGGCCATAGAGGCGAGCTCGACAAAGTACCTAGAAGCATAGATAATACTCTCAACACATTTACTCGTACAGCGTACAACGTCCACATCCATCCACTCTGCTTTCATCAGTATCATTTGTTTTTTAGTTTCCGCCCTTGACCGCTTTACCGTAAATAAAAGGATACTCTTCCTTCAACTGATGACACACGCTTTTCAGGCCCTGAGTTGCGGAACCATCAAGATGCAACTTATCAAGCTCAGGGTATCAAAAGTCCCGATTGAGAACTCCATTCCCAAAAGCAATATTTATGATTAATGGATGTTGACAAAAGAAAAAAATGTGTTGAAAGTCCCTAACAGTGGCACAGGGAATAACGTAACTGGGTATTAACTAAATGAACTGACCACACATTTATTGGTGACATGCTTGCCCAGAAATCGCAGTTTACTGCTCTTCCTAGTTAAGAATTCCATGCCACATACCAGGTCGGCGAATGCCGAGTCCTGGGTGGATGGAAGAGGCCTCGTACCCACTGGCAGCCTCAGCTGAGCAGCAGACGCGCTTAGCTGAACGCGAAAGCTCTGAGTAGCTAGGTACCTGAAGGAATGGGTCGCTACGAGGACGAACCAGACGGTCGGACCATGCTGGGTCAGAATCATAGCGGCCATTGAGGAGGTCACGAACGCTCTCGTGAAGACTGTCATCAATCGATGAGAGTCTGGAGCGCTTGGAACCAGTTGGTGTAGTGCTATAAGCGCGATGGCTATGGAGTTCCTGAAGGGCTCGAGCGGCATCAGACGCGGCGTCCTGTGCCATCGAACGAAGCTGCGAGTCTCGGCCTGCCATGGGGGTTTCAGCGGACCAGTCTCCAAGCTTTCCCACCGGGCCGGTGTAAAAGTCAGGAGAGGACGCGAAACACTCCTCATCATAGCTCTCGGGGACCGATGGGACTGTCAACCTCAGGCCAGTCTTCTCCTTGCAAAGCTTGGCACCTCGGAATCGCGAAGCACTGCTCAACTTAGAGTTGGCGGTCGCGCTAGCGAGGGAAGAAGCAGATGAGATAGAAGATGAGCGTGAGGTTCGAGATGTATCGGAAACCATTGAGTCAGGGGATGAGGCAGTTGAAATTGAATTGG